CCATACTTCGTCAAATAACAGGGTCATAATTCTGCCTATCATAAGACAAATATGCTGTGTCCAACAAAAATGCACTAAGTTCTTCCCCAGAAGAGTTAAAGTCCTTAAGTTTACTCTTCTCCATGATATCCCATAACTTCATGCTGGGGCTGGCCCTGCCCCAGCACAGTCCAGGACCTCCAGGCTCTTGACTCAAACAGGAAAGAATTCAAGAACAAGTGTGCGTGAGAGTGAAAGCAAGTTTTATTCAGGTAAAGAAAAACAGGCTGGGACTCAGGTTCCTGGGGACAAGATCAGAGGTTGAGTCACCTGCTGTCTCCCTGGTTACAAAACTCACAGGGTACCACTGTGAAAGTAAAAGTATACATCCAGTGGATGTGAGTGATCTGGTGAGTTGCTTGTGGGGTCAGTCAGTTCTTGGGGTTTTATGTGTTTCCAAGGGTGATTTGTTTCTGAATTTTATGGTGCCCAACTCCGACTGCTTTCTAGTTGGGAGGGGTCTTGTCCCTAATATGGTCTGTTCCAGGAGTGTAGGCATTTGCATCCCTTGAACTTCCTTCCATGTGTGGTGTCAGTTTTCATTATAATGAGCTTTGGGGTCAGTTTCTGGTCAATTTTTCCTCCATCTTGGATTGATCTGGTTTTCGCCCGTCCTTGTTGTTGTTGACTTCTGTGACCACTGAAGGGGTTTCCTGCCACAGCTGTTTTCCCTTCGATCATGCGTGGAGGTGGGGGCTCTGATGAAAGGACCTAGAGCAGTGGTTCTCAACCTTCCTAATGCTGTGACCCTTTAATACAGTTCCTCATGTTGTGGTGACCCCCAACCATAAAATTATTTTCGTTGCTACTTCATAACTGTTAATTTTGCTACTGTTATGAATTGTAATGGAAATATCTGATATGGAGGATGTATTTTCATTGTTACAAATTGAACATAATTAAAGCAGGGGTGGCCTAAGACCATCGGAAAACACATCTATAATTACATATTGTTTTTGTGATTAATCACTGTGCTTTAATTATGTTCACTTTGTAACAATGAAATTGGGAGTCACCACAACATGAGGAACTGTATTAAAGAGTCGCAGCATTAGGAAGATTGAGAACCACTGTAATATAGTAGATTTAAAAAAATAACCAATTTATTATTACAACTACATTTCTTATTGTTGTTTTGCCATTTTAGGATTTGCTATAATGTAAATTATTGGAAAACTTACCAGCAGGTGGTAGTACTGTTTAACAAATATACCCTCAGATCATAAAACAAGCAATTGTGAATAAAAAACTGGCTGCAAGTACAGCAATATTCAAATATGTCAGAATATTGGATTGTGGTTCAGAAAACTTAACTCCTGGTGCCCGTTATATTACTTGTTGGCCTCATCATTTTGCAAAAATAATTTTATCTTGGAGTGTTTAAATAACATTATAAGTAAAGTTGGGATAATAACTGTCCTTACTTGTGTTTTAAAGGTAGGAACAGGGCTCTGCTTCTCAGTGTCCCAGTGGTCGCTGCAGGCCCCTTGGAGGGAAAGCTGCCCTCGGTTCCGACCGATGCCAGACGGTCCGCTTCTCCCGTATGAGTCTGGGTCCCTAGAGACTCGCCCGGAACTGGAGCTCAGAGCCTGAGACTCCCTCCCGATTGAAGGCGGCAACCGCGCCCTCAGCCGCCAGCCCGCTCCGCCTGCGCCTCTTTACCTTAGTACTTTAGGTCCGCACCGCCCTCCTCTGAGTCTCGGTATGCGTTTCTCTGGAGTTTCCCCTCAGCCAGCCTTCCTGGTGTTCTGGATGATGTCCTTTCCGTCTCTTGGTTGTATTTTTGAAGTGGTTGTGCAAGGCAAGTGTTCGCCTTTGCCGCCATCCGGTTTCTCCTCCGGAATGGGTTTAAAGTCCTACAATTGGCTCCTCTCTGAGGGGGCGTGGCTGGGCCCTGGGGGCGTGGCTGGACTCTTGGGCGGACAGAGCCAGCTTAAGGCCAGGCTGAGGAGCAGCAGCTCACACTGCGGTGGCTGTTACACGTGGAGGCATGGAGGAGTGCGCTTGCCTCTGCGGTGTGGGCTCTTCAAGGGGACGTTGGTGTCGTCAGGGAGTGCCAGGGCCCAGCTGAGATGGCAGCGGCCGATGGCAAATCGGCCCTGGCCCCGGCAGAAAAGCACGTGGAGCCGGACACGGCAGCGGGGTGCTGTGGGCCAGCCTGGCCCAGGCCTGCACCAAATTCCAACACATCCTGCACACAGACAGCATCTGGAGACGGCGCTACTTGGAGGAGTTTGGCATTCGTGAAAACTTGCAGAACCTGGAGATGATTGGTATGTCTTTTCGAGAAGTCTATGCGAAGCTATTCCACCCATACAGACACATTTTGGGATTGTGGCAGCTAGATCGTGGCTATAGAACACTGCTGAATGTCGTGGTGGACGGCTTAGGCATTACTGGTTGGATGTACGAGCTTTCCCTTGACACCCATGTGGATGGCCCAATGCGTTTCAAGCCCTCGTTCAGAATTCGCCTAACGGAGAGGAAATCAGCCACGGTGGAGTGCATGGAAGGCCGCCTCAGCAGGCCCACCACGGCCACATTCTGATGGAGAAGGACAGATTCACCGCCCTGTGCAAGAGGACAGACCACCAAGCGGGTTCACTAGCGTGGCTTTGGGGAGGACAGAGTTGGGCGCTGGTAAAGGAGGACAACCTGACCTACCGCCGCCTCTACCTCCCGCAGAGCCACCCGGACAACCTCACCAGGCCAGGCCTCTTCCAAGGCAATTGCGATGCCTTCGGCCTACAGATTGCCCTGCTCAGCTTCCATGGGAAGTATGCCAGGGTCACGAGGGTCACCGGAACAGCCAAGGTGTTAGAGATCCACCTCATGCACCGCATCCAGCTGCCAGATGGCGAGATCTTCCGCAACTTCAACGAGCTCTCCCACGTGGTCGAGGAGATCGACGAGCAGGTGATCCCGGAGCAGCAGCAGCAAGAAGACGGGACTGAGGAAAGCGAGGGCCATGGCTGGCAGAGCCCTGCCCAGCCCAGCGTGAGGGAGTTCGGGGCTGCAGCTGCGGAGGAGCAGCCTGTCCCGTTTGTTCTGCCAGTGGGCGTGCGCTCAAGAGAACTACCCCCGAACCTGCAGGATGTGTTTCTATGGGTGGACACTGTTACTGATACCTTAGGAAGTGGCTTCACCTTCACCAGTCGCTTACCTGGAGTCTTCATCCTGTTTGATGAGAACCACTTCGGGTTCATCTGGCTGAAGGCGAAATACTTCTTCCTGTACCGCAGAGTCCAGAACACCTTCCAGAATGTGGAGGCACCATCCCCACAGGCCTTCCTGGAGATGCTCAAGAACATTCAGTCCATGCCCTAACCGGTTTGGCTCAGTGGATAGAGCATCGGCCTGCAGACTCAAGGGTCCCGGGTTTGATTCCGGTCAAGGGCATGTACCTTGGTTGCAGGCACAAACCCAGTGGGAAGTGTGCAGGAAGCAGCAGATGGATGTTTCTCTCTCATCGATGTTTCTAACTCTCTGTCCCTCTCCCTTCCTCTCTGTAAAAAATCAATAAAAATATATTTAAAAAAAAATAAAGGTAGGAACAGAATGATTGTGAAATCACGGGAAGTGTAGAATGCTGGGTAAATGCAGATGTCAATTCTCCTTTCCCCCCTCTTATCCAGGCATTTATTCTAAGATGTTCTCTTACTAGCAACAGTGGTGGTCATCACGGTGGACCTCAAAAGGATGATACTCATTCAGTCAGTGACTTCCCGTTGTTCATATGTCCAACTGTCCTTTGACTTTTCAATTCTGTTCCACTTCCTTGTGGTGTAAGATGACAAAACCCTATGTTTGTTGGGTCTGAGGAAAAGTAGCTCTAGCCTCTGAATACATTCCTGTGCCTAACTGTTGCTTGTCTTTGCACGACCATGGACTAGAGAGGAGAAGTCTAAGGGAAACCTAACAACTTCAAGGATTATTTTAAAAGAAGTAGCATCTACTAGTATATGCACTGGCATATTTAAAAGTATAAGGAGTATAGTGAGCCAGTAGTTCACCTTTATTGAGTATTTATTATGTGCAGGGAAGTGTACTAACCACTAATAAAATGCAAAGATATAGAACCCAGGGCTCTTAAAACTGAATTTCTATTCTTTGTGTTAGTTTTTTTTTTCATTTAATAGGTATTTATTGATCACATTCAATAGATTGCACACTTTACTAGGTGCTGGGAATACAAGACATGTAATATTTAAAGTTGCAGACCACCTATAAACAAGAGCAAACCAGTGTAGTACAGAAGGCCAGAGATAGGCCATGAAAGCAAACACACAGCCGGTGGTGTTTACATTAAAGCTAACCTGGAGAAGACTGAAGAAGAGGAGAGATTCCAGGAGGAGAAAGCACCTATGAGAGCAGGCATTTGATGTGGATGCAGTAGAGTATAATAGAGTATAGGCTTTGGAGCCAGAATGAGCTGGAAAAAATATTAATACTAAGAAGAATTTGGAGTAATCAGCATGTTTACAAAATCGACAGCTTCTTTCTATGCTCATTATACCTGCTTAGAAAATGTTAAATAAAACCTATTCACAATGACAATAAACTAGTAAGATAGTGAGATATAAATTTAACAATATAAGTGAACAGGACTTATGTATTTGAAAGTTTAAAAACATAGAATGAGATTTTAATAAGTAGAATGAGTTCATTGTTCTCAGACAGTAAATTGGTATTCTAGAGATTGCAACTCTCTAAATCATGTAAATTCAATATTGTGACAATAAAGAGAATAAAGTGATTGTAACTTCAACTAATGAGGAAAGCACTCAAAAAGGCAGAAAACTTAAGAAAAAGGAGAATTGAAAGCCCACTTATATTACAGTAAGATTTATAGTTCATAGAGTTTCACTACAGAAGATAATTGTATTATACTTTCAGAGAATATAGATAAATCAGTGTATAAAAGAAAGGAAGCTAAACTATAAAATAAACCAACACAGATGTGAAAATTTAGTAGTATATGATGATAGTGGAAAACCTGGGTAGTTTGAGAAAAAGCTGAAATTCTACCTCAGACATTCTACTGAACACACAACATACACACATACCCTATGTCCTATACCCTAGATCACAAATTTAAAAGTAAAAAAGACAAAAAAAAACCCAAAACTGTTCCTTGGGAAGTATGGGCTTTTTTTCTATAATATTTTTGTGGCAAGCTCCAGACACAAAATTCATACTCCATCCATTTAAAAAATGATACATTTGACCACAGGAACATGTAAACGTTCTTGATGATAAAAAATATTAGTCAAAATAAAAGTACCAGCCTGAGAAAGATATTTACAACCCCTAATGCAAAGTCCAGTTTTCTTATTGAGAACTGTGTTCACTGTATTCACGTCTTCCCCTCGTTTCAGCATCTCTGGAATGAGGATGTCCGGAAGCTTCCCGGTGTCATCTGTAGAAACAGATGTCTGTGGGAGGAGAGGGAAGGTTGGGATATTAGACTCCTTTAGCAACATTCCTGCAGCTGGCTGGGGTCAAGAGCAGGCTGGAATGTCAACAGCATTAAATGTCACCTCTCAGAGCCCAGCCCTGCAGGCTTTTAGTTCTTTGAGTAACGGATTAAAAGAAATACTTCAATACCAGTCCTCTGACTGCACAGAGACACCGTCATGTGGAAAACCATGAACACGGAGGACTCTGTTGCAATGATTCTGAAGAGTCAGACATTGGGGAAATTTGGTTTATTTCCTGTCGGTATGTGAGAGAGTGAAACATGACAAAAATATCTGCCTACTTAAGGGTAAAAGGATCATTTAATATATTCAAATTAAAAATTATAGCTGATAAAAAAGCACTGTTTCTTAACTTAAAGGACAGATTTTTTTTGTTACAATTAATGATGTCTTAGATTTGATGAAATGTGGAATATAATGAGCTTCTACAAATCAATGAAAGATAAACAAGCCAAATTCACATTTAAATACAAATGGCACTGCCCTAACCGGTATGGCTCAGTGGATAGAGCGTTGGCCTGCGGACTGAGGGGTACCAGGTTCGATTCTGGCCAAGGGCATGTGCCTTGGTTGCGGGCACATCCCCAGTGGGAAGTGTGCGGGAGGCAGGTGATCGATGTTCCTCTCTCATCGATGTTTCTAACTCTCTATCCCTCTCCCTTCCTCTCTGTGAAAAATCAATAAAATATATTTTTTAAAAATAAATACAAGTGGCACTGAAAATGAATTTTCAAAACATTAATACCTATTAATGTTTTGAAAATTAAAATTAAAACAAAAATGAAATACCATTTCGCCTATCAGATTCTCCAAAGATCAAATATATTGTGGGTGAGGGTATATATAAACAGACATCCTCAAAGTTTTGCTGGTGGATTAACTCTAACAAATTTGATTGAGTTCTATCAAAATTAGGAACACAAATTTTGACAAGCAATGCAGTATTACAAAATTATCCAAAGATATATTCATACAGATATAACCCCAGAAAGAGGGTCCCTGCATTGTTTTTAATTGTAAAAGCATTGTTACTGTTAATGATTGGTTGGATAAATTATGGGACATCCAATCAATGTAGTATCATTTAGTCCTTTCAGTGAAGCTGATGTTTTTGAGTTAACAGAAATATTTTCAAAGTATATTTTTGGCAGAAAGATCAGGTTCAGAATAGTACCTATGTATGTATAAAATATGCTTTCATTTGTGGAGAAAAACAAAATACATATTCACACAAACACACAACATTTTAGAGCAGTGGTTCTCAACCTGTGGAACGTGACCCCTTTGGGGTCGAACGACCCTTTCACAGGGGTCGCCTAAGACCGTCGGAAAACAGATCTATAATTACATATTGTTTTTGTGATTAATCACTATGTGAATTGTGTTCAATTTGTAACAATGAAATTGGGGGTCACCACAACATGAGGAACTGTATTAAAGGGTCACGGGCCTTAGGAAGGTTGAGAACCACTGTTTTAGAGGAATATGCCAGTGACGGTATTATTTTTCAATCAAAACGCTAGTAGCTTCCAGCACATGTACACAGTGACTCAGAGCTAGATGATGAAACTGACATCTGTTACCTTGAGCCTGTTTAAGGTCTTTTATTTTCTTGGTGTGTGCATCCTGCCAAGAAAATCCCACTCCCATACCTTTGCAATTACTTGGTCTCTTTCAGCCAAAGGTGACTGCTGTGCTCAGTGCTCTGATCGTTTTTATAGGCATGTCGGGGATTTTTCTGTTGAAAGATGCAGTTCTGGTTTTATGGTTTGGTTTGGTTTTCCTCTCTGCATGAGCTCTCTCTTTGGAAATATGTCATGGGGTTCCACCCATTAAAGGTAGATATTTCTATTTTGTCCTCCCTGTGCTCTCAGACGCGTTGCTGTCAGGGATTGCCGGAGGAAGCAATGTTGTCACTGCGGCTGGAATGTGTCCTTCCTTTCTGGCGGCTGTTAGGACAAGCACTCTTATTTTCGCTCTTGCCTGAGTTGAATGATTTATGACTGAACTATTTAATTTTGGGAACACTTGACATTTTTTACCTGTCGTCCATCAACCCTTTGGAATTACTTTGCTTGGTAGATTGAAACACTGTTTCATTCCCCTGCGGATATTTTCAGTTTTCCTTGTCAAGGAAATAGAGCCCTGGGGTTACCCAGGAGAGTTACCTGAGAGGTAAGCAGACGGCTTTCAGAGGTAGGCACAACCAGGACACTGCCAGGAACGTGTGTGAGGAACAATGTCCCTGCTAGCATTAAGTTCTTACAAAATAACTTTTCTTTTTCTTATACATTTTACTTTTGTCATAATGGTGAAACTAACCAAAAAATCCTAGAATTATCTTACCTTCCTTAGAAAGTAAGTTGTATCTATAAGAAACCCAAAGAAATAATAAACATTTGCTGTTGTCATGAATATAGGTGGCTTTGTTGGGCTATGATAAAAGTTGTCCTGCTTTAATTTCAGTTCTTTAGCTAAGAACATTTCAAAATTTCTATTTACAGTGGAACATTTTTGCTCCAACACTCCACGATAGATTACTCCTTCTTTTGTGAATGCAAGAGAATTAAACCTCAGCAGCCTTTGTAACATTCTGACAATGAAATTGGTAAATGAATCCGATATTATCGATACTTAAGGATAGGTAAGAAATCTTGGTTATCCAGTAATCAATGCGACAAAGCCTTTCGTGTCTACATTTGTTCTATTTAACGATAAACTGAAGGGTTAATTAGGCTGTCTGACTTGACCAGACACAGATTTACTGTTTTACTTCCTAATATTGTTAGGAGTGTGTCTCTGGCCTGGAGGCTTAATGCCAAAAGAGGATACAACACACTGCAATGTTAGTTCATCATGATGAGTAGATACTGGAGTGAAAACAGCTGTTCTCTTTAAACTGAGCTAAAAGTCAGTGTTAAGATATCTGGCTTTAATATTGGGCCTATTGAGCTGTGCTCTCTGGTGTCCAGAAATCAATGCAGAATTAATCACCTTGTCCCTAGCAAAACTTCTGAGGCAATGTTTAAAGAACAAAATTCAGGTTTTATTAAGCCCGGGAGTTTTCTAAAACAAGAAAATGGAACATATAAAGAAAAGATAATTTTTATTTCCATTATGTAATATGTAATTGTCTCTTATATAAGGCATATTTCGGTATTAACATTATGTTCTCTTCACCTCCTTGTGTCCTCCTTAATGGCAGAAAACCTCTTTCATGTTAGAACACATAAGACAAATCACTTCTCTAAAGTTTGAGAACCTAGAACAGCGGTTCTCAACCTGTGGGTTGCGACCCCTTTGGCGGTCGAACGACCCTTTCACAGGGGTCGCCTAAGATCATCCTGCATATCAGATATTTACATTACGATTC